TTTGGTTATTTTAAAACCAAGTTTCAATTTCAACCTAAACCAGTTTTTGCGCACCCCTACCATCATCTAAGTCAATAAAAATATATACTTTCATGAAAAATTATTGAAGGATAATTTGTTTATACTAAATTTTCATACAAATATATATATATAATTATAAATAATAAAAAAAGTAAATTTTATGGGACTAGAATTTGATATCACTAATATAATATAAACTATGTCATTTAAAATATTAAAAAGTAAATAATATATTATTTAATTATTAACTCATTTTATTTTATCAAGATTTGTAATATTATATATATCAACTCATTTAACGACATAATTTATACTACATTATTGATCCTAAATTTTGACCTCAAATTTTTTACTTTTTAATTATTGACTCCTTTTACTATATTAAAACTTATACTACATATATTTACTCATTTAATAAGATATAGAAGTTGTATATAAAAATTGTATAAAAAAATTATTCATCTATCATTAGTCATACTTAGAATTTGCCTAATATATTTAAAGTTTCTTATTTTTCAATTCTAATTTAAATTGTATTATATTATAAAATATAAACAATTACATAAAGAAACAGCTTTCAATCTCATGACCTTTCATCTAATAGTTTAAACAACATAATAATTTTTTAAATACATGTAAATGAAATTCTTGTTTTACTTTTCACAAAGTTATTTTTAATATGATTTTTCCTAATAAATAAATAAATAAAAGAATCCAAGTTGACTTATTGCAGAGGCTTAAACACGACAGCGTCCCCATGTCATAATCGAGACTTTTGGAGCTAGGTAGAATCAATTTTTCTTTCTTTCTTTTTATTGGCCTTCTAAAATAGCTTGAATCAATTATACAAGCTAATTGGTTATTATTATTATTATTATTATTAATTAGTACTAAATTATTGAAAGGCTATGGTCGAAGAAAAACTTATATGGTATTTCCTAAGACATTACCGACATCACTGGCTGAAAAAATCAAGGTCCATGTCCATGGCAGTTGGTCCAAATCTTCCATCAATTTCACTGATCAGCAATATATATGCAATGCCCAATTTTCATTGGATATTAATGAAGTCATATCAATGTGCCAATTCTCAAAGGTTGTTATATATAAAAACCACAGTCAAACCTAGTTTATACCCCAATATTACGGTCAAGTTTTTAATTCTGCCTTGATTTTATAATCATTTTTAACGTAAGGTTTGATATATAAGTGGCTAGCTCCAACAAAAATTTTTATAATAAGTTGACTTTTAATCATATTTAATCTTTCTTTTAAACATGTATAAAAAATTAGGGTTTCGTTTAATATGATTTTAGTTTTTATTTTGAATTTTCATTTTTTATACATTTGATAACTATTATTATATTTAGAAATTAAAATTTATTATAAAAATTTAAAATTTAAAATTTAATTTAAATATAATATTAAATATTAAATATATAAAAAAATAAAAATCAAAAACCAAAATTATACAAGATGAGGAAGCCTAAACTATATAGCTTTGTATAGGTAATTTATTCGTTAGAATATGTGGGTGATCATTATCAACAACATTTTTTTTCCAAGTTGCTTCAAAACTTTATCTCAAACAAGCCATATGGTCTATATTCCTTATTGAGGTGATGGTTAGGGTGGAGGTGTTGTGTAGTGTAGGATAAGCCCAAATTAAACATTACATTTATTTAGGTATGATTGTGATGGTGTGGAAAACAAATGATCCAATGGGAGTTTTGTTTATTTTTTTCTTTTCTCCTTTTCATTTTTGGCATAATATATTGAGTTGTGAAATTGTGTCTATCAATGCCTAAGAAAATGTAAGTAAAGGTTATCAGATTTTGGCAGGTTTTTTGTCACATTGGGAAATGTAAGTGGTTAAAAACCTTTTTTTTTTTTAATAAAGTAACTAATTAAAAACTTAATATTATGGGAGTTAAAAATAGGTAAAAATTAATCTTCCTTGTCCCTGTTGTCCATGATGTAAAGTCATGATCAAGGAATCCCTAATTTTGAAGTAAAGTTAGAAGTTTTATTGTCTAAAGTTTAACTTTTCCTGTATCAAATGAGACACAATTTTATATAGATTTGTGTCTTTGAGTTTTTTTTTTTTTATAAATTATTATCACACTCTGAATAATTAATGTCATATTTTTTTAATATAATAATTTATTATATTTTTATATTATTTTTAAAAAAAATTTATATTTTTTGTATCTTAATAAATTAAAGATATAATAATAAATTAAAATAAAAAAATATGATATTAATAATTAAAAATGTAGCAATAACATCACTTTTTGAAAAAACAATTTTTTTTTTCTTGTTTTACCAGCAACATGGTGGAAATAAGGAAACAGTAAGGAATTTATACCAATCAGCTACAATGATGTGAATATGTTTTAAATATTTTATTACTTCTATCCATTTTTAGTTGTTGTACTTTTATTTTTGCATAATTGTAAAGAATTAGAGAATACTTGGAAACCTTTATTTGTGTAATAAATAATATTTAATATTACTTAGTGATAAACTTTTAAATCAATTGTTAAAAAATTTAAAGGTTATGGTTTCAAAACTTTTGAATTTTAAGTTTAAATTTTTTTGCTTGGGAACTATTTTTGCTTTTGTGCTGTATTTTGTATATTGTACTTAGGTAATTAAATCTATATTCTAAATATTTATATTATCTAGTGTTCTTCCTTCTTCTTCTTCCTTTTTTTTTTTAAATAGGCAATGGATTATCTAGTGTACTAGATGAAAACAAACCTGTGATCCTACTTTCCTCGCCATCTAATGTCATTATACTGGATGTAGATTTTTCCCATCATTTATTTGGGGCAATCATTTTGGGACATCACTTTCCTAGTAAGGCTTCAATTGGAGTGATTAAGAAGCTTCAATTTTTGGTAGTTCGTTGTTTGATCTCTTAATTATTATATAGATCATTAATTTGATTCTTGAACTAAAAAAATTCTTAATTTCATCTTGATTGTTTACCAATACGACCTAAGTTGATTTTTCTCTTAAAAACAGTTAACGTATCTGTTACTTAATGGTAAAAAATTATTACTTAACAATCATGTGTCATGTTAATAATGAGAAATATTATTTGTTTTTGTTTAAAAAGATCAATTTGAAGCTAAAATAGTAAACATTAAATATCAAATCAAGGATTTTTTTTAATTTAAAGGCTAAATTGAGAATTCATACAATAGTTGAAGAATCAAATTAAAGGTTTAACCTAATAAAAAAATAAAAATAACATTTTAAATATTTATTTTTATATAATTTTTAACTCGTAAAGTTTTTTTTATTTATTTTAAAAAGAAAATTTTTTT